CCCTGGCATTGAGCAAGTTTGGGGAGAAAAGATTCATTTCCGCTAACAGTTCTAAATTATAGACTATCTTTTCCTGGAAGTAACAATGGCAGAATTTGAGACAGTAAGTTACAAAGGCCGAAAGAGAATAAGAACACATAAGTTAACTTGCTTCCATTCCCTCTCTATATTAACACAGTTCAAGGCAAAACCAATGGGATGGTGCTGCAAACATTCAAAGTGTTGTTTGCCACTTCAATTAACCCATTCAAGAAGGCTGACCTGATCCAGATAATTCTTCATTGACATTCTCTTTCTAGTGACTCTATTTTGCATCAGGCTGACACAAAATTTACCACAGTTACAGATCAATTTCAGAACACTCTGATGGTGCATGACTGGGACAAAAGGAAGGAATATGTTATCAGGGCTAGTGGAGCAATGGGAGGAAATTTTATTTTCTGAATCTAAGGTGATAAATAGAAGCATTTGGAATATATGCAAATAAGTAATCAGTAGGATTCTGATGCAGGCTAGTAAGAATAAGACAAAACACGGAGTACAACATGAATACAATATTAACTCAGCAATAATTACACATGAAAAGTCCATTAGGTTGGCAATGTGAATATTCATTTTTAGGCCAGGAATTGGCAAGAAGTACAGGTTGGAGATAAAATTCATCAAGTTTGGGGTATCTTCACATCCACAAATAAAAAATATGTTGCTAGAAAGTGAAGATATTGAGCCTTGGAGGGGTCAGAAAAGAAGAAAAAGAGCATGCTGTCTTTCCCAGAGTTGTTAAAGCCTTATCCGTGGTAGGGGGTCTGCTTTCTCCATTTCTTGATATGTGGCTTGGCACACAGGTGGTTTCAGTGAATGTTTAGTACATAGCAGAAGGAATGTTGTTTCTCAATTTCTGGCTGAAATTTGCCTTGAGTTTTATAAGTTTTAAAATAGTGTTTAATTTGGTCCTAGTTTGTTTTATAAGTTATAAAATAGTACGTAAAAATATGACAGAGGAGAAAACTACTAATTCACCCAAAAGAAAATGACTGCATGCTTTAGTTGAGTGTCACAAAATGGACAAGAAAAAAATGCACTTGGTGAGAGTCCCAGATATGAGTCTTTCGGAGGACTAATGGGAACACGGATGCTTCCCTCTCAGGCAGGAGGTGTCACTCTAGATCCTTTGTGTGGCAACACAGATCTAAAGAGATCCTTTATTCCTTTACCTAACCCTACTGTCAACCCATTGCATATGATTATCCACATTCCCATAATGCCCCTCTTTCTAGCTATCTAGTCTCATAACTCACTGACTTAGTAGCGTTAAACCTGCTCTATACATTCAAATGGAATACCGAGGCATTGTACAAATTTGCACAAGCAATTCTTGCCTTTGTCTACTCCAACTAATGTAAGAACAAAATATTTATGCAGTATAATTATATATGATAAGATAGAAATGTGTTTAAACTACTATATGACAAGGGTTACCCATTATATTATCTCATATACATACTGAAAACACTGGAAAACTATTGTATTCAGATCCTATTTACACAACTCTGGATATAATCAGAGACATTTCCATAGTAATTGATATTAAAATATGAATATGATAGAATGATTTATAACTTTGAAAACAACAAGCAATGACTGCAAGTTGGACTTTTTGAGAGAAGAAGCAGTAACATATTCAAACTACTGACATAAAAAAATGAAAATTATAGATTAAACACATAAAAGTTGAAAATATCAGCAACTCCACCAAGTTTATTCAGTGGTAATTTTCTAAGAAAAACAGAATTTTATTAATAAGAAATGATAATAAAATGCAAAACCTAACAAAATGGGCAACAGGGTATTTTAGAGATGACAGATTGAAAATTAACTCAATGAGTGTAATTCCTGTACAATAATTGATAAAAACACGCTTAAAGTTTTGATAAGTTGTTTTGTTGCTGTTATTTTGCTTTGTTTTGAGATGGGAGTTCTCTGTGTAGCCCTTGCCATCCTGGGAGTTGATCCGTTGACCATACTGGTCTCAAACTCAGAGATTCCCTGGATCTGCCTACTGAGTGCTAGAACTAAAGGCATGCACCAACATATTCAACTATTTGAACATTTTATATACCACCTCTAAAATAAAATCTATGGCTTGATTATTTTACTGTGCATCTTTTCCCCAGATTCACATTCCAGGGAGAGTTTGCAATCTCCTTATCTTCTTAACATGACCAGAGAGGAGGGCACTTAGAAATCGTGTCGTGATTCTGCAATACTTCTCAAAATAAGTAAATAAACACATTGACATAAACTATGTAATAAAAGAGTGAGCTGGGCCAGTGTGATTGCTCATTAGTTAAAGACACTTGTCTTCAACCCTGAGGGTTTGAGTTAAATCTCCAGGACTCATGTGGTGAAAGGCAAGGACCCACCTGTGCAACTTATCCTCTGATTTCTATACATGAAGGTACACACAAGTACAAATGATAGTCAAAACACATAACAAATAAATTTTAATAATATTTGTTCAAAAATAGTTAACTATCAAACTATGCACGAATGACATGACATGAACTTTGGCCAAGAGAAGAAAATTAAATTATCAGACTGAAATTTTTCTTTATATATTTCAAGTATTCAAAATGAGATTAGGAAAAATTTCATAAAATCTATTTTAGCTTGCTAGTAATTGGACAGTATTCTAGTGAATTAAAGACACACAAATGGTTAATGAGACATTAAACTGACAATCATGAAAGTCATTCTAAATAAAACCAAGTAAGAACAAATATTGTTTAGCCATTTAACATGCACCTTCAAGCTTCCACCAGACCATTAAGTAGTGAACTGAAAATATTAAAGTGTGTTATAGCAAAAGAAAAAAGATAAAAACCACCTAAGATAGTTCTTATCCCCAGATTAATGTGGTTTCACATAGTAACTGAAGAACAACCCCAGAGAAAAACCACGTGAGATGTCAGAGGGTAAGAAGTACACACACGGACATTGTTCTAACAAATTTTACAGAAATCTCTCAAATGCAGCTAGTAATTTATAGTATTTAACACCCCCTCTTTTAATATACAAGACAAATCTTTTATTGTTCTGCAAAGTTCGTTTAAGTTATACAGAATTACACATTATCAACACAGCATCTTTATTTAAAATCGTTCATTATAACTGCTGGACCAAATGCAAAGGAAAACCTAGCTAGTTCAACACAAGCATCCATCCCTAAATGCTTCCTGCTGCAGCTGTGTAATAAGGTCCTCCTACTTTTGCGTCAGAGCCCTCCCCAACCATGATGGATTGTATCCTCTCAAATAGTGAACCCCTCCTCCCTGAAGTTGTTTCTTGTCAATCATTTTATCTCACCAGTAAACTTCTATTTCTTCCTGGCATGTACCTGGTATGAAATTGCTTGGCCTTATAATAGTTACATTAAAGTTTTGAGGACCTGTTAAACTATCCTGCAATGGCTACATTACTTTACCATCCCACTAGCAATGGTTTAGATTTTACTCTTCCCATAGTCTCTGTCATTATTATCTGTATGTTTATGTCAGTCACCCTAGGAAGTATGATGTCCAGTATCATTGTTTTGTTTATGATTCTGTAATGACTAGTGATACTGATGAAGAATCTTCCCTTTTCTGACCCTTCAGGGCCCAAGCACCAACCTTCAAAGGAACTCACTATAACCAGTTGTTTAGAAAATTAGTGAAAACCTTTTTGATGTGTGTGTGTGTGTTTACACCTAACATTCTTAACATATTCGCCTAGTTAGTCTTGGAGACACTCAATCATGCATATATGTATTCTTTGCTTCATTTTTTTCTGATGGAAAACGAAAGTTTAGAGCAAGCTGACAATCAGTCAAGATCAAGAAAACAAGACGGTGAGAAGACTTCCAGTCTTGGCTCCAGTGAGAGACAGAATCAGAATAGAAACTTAGGCCATCGTTACAACATATCTCACACCCTTGCAGTGGGCTGTGAGTTTATGAACTGATAATATTCCCAGTTTCATAAACAGCGTTAACTGGCTATGTAAAGTTTTAAGAACATGGCTGCTTTATTTGTATTGTTTCAGGGATGTTTAATACATAGATCCACTGTAACCATAACTCTCTATGGAATGGAAACACAGCGCAGTTTCGAAGTTCTTAGTTTAGGTTATTAGTTTGCTGCTTAGACAACTCTTTTGTATACAAGGGCATCCAACTGTTTGACACTGTGACCGACACAAACAACAGTATTTTTCAAAAGAATCTTTAGTCCCACCAGTGATTATAAACAATAATAAAAATGATTTCATTATAGAGGACTGTGAGAAAATACCTCAAGCAAATTTAAACCAGCTTACCAGGGTAGAACAGATGTAAAAAACAGTTTGTTTCCATTGAAGCCCAAGGGTTAAAATTTTATAATTTTATCATAAGATAATCAACGACCCACATTAGACAGGCAGGAGGATTTCACATGTTTACTTCCCTACATAATCTTTTCCACACAGTGTTCATGAAAAAGACTTGATAGTAGCACGTGGATTAATTTTAGGCATTTTATATTCGCCATATTTTAGAAGAGAGTGACAAGTGCCTCAAAAGATGACACATGGTATATTTGCTTTTCATCATAACAATTTAAAAATTTAGCCAAAATTATTCAGGGATTCTAATCTCTAACAGTCTTATTGGTACTCACTCTGTAGTTATTGATGACCTTGAATTTAGGATTCTTCTGCCTCAAGCTCCCGGGTGCTAGAATTTCATCCCCCAGCAAACCAAGTGTATGTCATGATAGGCAGAATCAGAGCTTTAGGCACACTAGGCTGGCACACTCCCAGCTGTGCTATGTACCCTACCCTATTGTTGTGTTTTTATCATAAAAAATACAAAACATGAAGATCAGTTCTTCGAATTTCTTATATCAGTCAATAAATTTGTGGTGACCAATGGAAAATAACAGATAAACAAAACCATGATATTATAAATAGTTCTTACTCACCATGGATGAACGCATGGACTTTGATTTGGACAATTATCCCAGTAACATTCTCAAAGATCTAAGATGCAAGAGAGATTGGAGAGGATCAGTACAGTATAACTTATATAACCATTTTTATGTATTAATTCTATGATCTTTGATTTTCTTATTTTAGACTTCCACAAAGATATACTCAAAGTCATGGTTCTAGTTAACTTGAATATTGTCTACCCTTGTTAGTAATGTACATCTTATTTCCTCACACACCATATTTATGACTGGAGGTTCCCTTCCCACCTGCCTGCCCTCAGCTTCAACTCTGACCTGCAGGAATCACACTGTGAACTTAAAAGAAATAATTCACTCTGGACTCTGACTCAATATTTCCTTTAAACAAAATGAAGAAACTTCACCCCCCCCCACCCCGGCTCTTCTTTGTTCACAGGACTTTAAAAACTTTCTGCGTGGGAAAGCTGCGCTGGAAGGTTTCTCTGCGATAAGATGAAATCAATATCCACAAATCTATTCTGTTCCATTTACTATATGCCCTAATTTACAACTTTAGCAATTACATCGCCTGTGAAAAATGCATTTATTTTAAGATAGCAATTGTCAACTTATTTCAAATATACTTGCCAAGCATGTTAATGAAACCAGAAGAATTTTCATCAATAAATAATCCTCTTTTTCTTCTTTTAATGAGAACAATGAAACAAGAGAAAGCTTGTTTGGCCGAGATGTTAGTCCTGAGGCAGACCTGTGACCAGATGCTGATCATCAGGGCTTCAATTCATTGTCTTTCTATGGATTAATTTAAAACACCTTTATTAAGGCTCTGATATATGCCAAGGATTGAAGTGGACACCGGGGATTCAGTAACGAACAAGATAGAGCACCTGACTTCATGAAGCTAAACTCGAATGATCTTAACTCATTAAAATATTGAGTATACTTTTACATCTACTTGATTAACACAGAATAAAATGCAATCAGGTAAAGCATTTCAGAATCCAGCTGTACTGTGAGCCAAGCCTCATTTCCTGTGACTATCTTTTCTTTAACCTCTGAAGTATTTTTGGCTCACAAAGTGCTTAGCCAAACAACTGAGCATCTTTAGTCTGCAGCTAGACATCTTTGTTCAAGAATAAAATTTTCTTTTTAAGAAATCTTTTAAAATGGAAAGAAACAAACATTATTCCCAATGAATATATTTAAACTAATAACTTGTTTGACTACTGATCTAATTCTTTGTCAACTTTCAGGCTCAATGTGAAGTTTGAAAAAGTGCTGCAGAGATTAAAGTGCCAAGTGTAGAAAGGGTTTCATGTGGAAGATGAAACTGAGCCCTGAGAGCCGTTCTACAGATCAAGTCTTAATTCCTGCTCAGTATGGCAACAAGTTGAATGTCCTGTTTACAGCGGGCATTGCAAAAGAATGGAATCATTTAAAATACCAAGATTTCATTTCTAGATACCTAAAGCACATTCCTTGCTCCATTTTCATACCCCTTACTGGTAATATGTAAGCACATTAAACATAATTATACTATCTTAATATCATTGAAGTATTAAATGTATTGTAATGACCTTCACTTAGTTTTATTGCAATGTTTTCTGCCTTATAAAATTATCGGTTGAAATATGAAAAACTAAGAACCCAAAATAATATTCTAAAATTATGACACTATTGATTATTTCAGTTTTCATACAGTTCTATGCAAAATTATAGCAAGCCACAGAAACGCATGTGACCTGTTTCCCAGAAGTAAAGTGTTCTGTGGTAGGCGTCCCTGAGATGGGCCATGAGTCTGTGGGTGGAGCAACTGTCTTGATTTTGTGTATACACATTTATTAGTGTGTTTATGGAGAAAAACATCTGTATACTATAGAAGAAAGGTACATTGAAAGAGAAGCTGGGCATGTTCAAGGGTTTGAAACCACCTTTCGGTAAGCTATGGTAAACAGACCATACTTTCAGATGGCACAACTCATACTTGCTCTACCACAATTTCCTCCCAATATGAATAACGGCAGCTCTCCTATTTATTGACAGTTGCTATGTCTCTGCGTCATAAGTAATTTTCATCTCATGCATGATTCCAGGGCCCCCTCTGCTACCTATATATCACAAAGTACTAGCAAGGTTTATTTGTCTCTAATGTTGATGGTCAATGATTTCTTCTCCTACGAGCACCTCAAAGCAGAATGTAAACTTGCTCGGCTTACTGTTTCCATTGTTTTTCATCCTTCTATACCAGCAAGAGCGGTCTTAATTTTGACTTCCAGTGTTTCTGAAACAATTCTCACATAGGTCCCTAGTAGACTTCTGGTTATGGCACCTTCCATATTTTCATTGGCTCTTTCACTGACTTTTCCTCCTTTTTAAACACTGCAATTATTATAATTTATTCATATGTCATAGTAAACATGTGGAAATCATGGGATGGTTTTGGAGAATCAGTTCTCCCCTTCCACATTTATACAGCTTCTGGGGATCAAGACTAGATCACCAGGACTCTGTGGCAAGCACCTTTACCACTGAACCATTATGTGAGCCTCACCTCTTTCTCTTAAATACACTTCATTCCAAGTTACTATTCCTGTTTTTTCCTTTTTCTTGTAATGTCTGATTTAGTTTTATTAATATTCCAGTTCTCATGGGCTGATGGCCAATTTTTTCCCTGTCTAGAGCAATAGAGATATCCAGTTCTGCGTTATGACACATAGGCCCACACATTCAAATATTTACCTGGCATCCCCAATCAGTTCCATTTATAGCAAATCAACAAATAAATACAAATGGCGAATAGAATCCTTTAAAAGTATTTACTAACACTATCATCACTGACTATCATGGAAATACAAATTAAAACTACTTTGGGATTCCTGTCAAAGCACTATCATCAAGAAGTCAAATGACCATAAAAGTTAGTCATGATGTGGTAGAAAAAGCCTTATTCATTATTGACATGAGTGCATACTGGTGCGGTTACTGATAAATCAGAGTTGAGTTTCTTCAAAAAGCTAGAAATCTTGATATCTTATGATTCGGTATACTACTCCTGGGCTTATATGCAAAGGATTTTACATCCCTGTAGAAGCTTTGACATCCATGTTCACAGCTGTTATAGTCCCAGTTGCTAGGCAATGGAACTAGTCTTGGTGTCTATACATTGATGAATTGTTAACAAAAATGTGATACATATACATAATGGAATTTCATAAAGCTGCAAATGAAAACTTTAATTCACACATAAATGAATAAAACGAGAAAAAATTACTCAGTAAAATGTGGAAGTCTAGAAAGACAAATGCATTATATTCTCTCTTTTGCGTGAATCCTAGCTTCAAGTAATTAGATTTGTGAGTTGAACTTGGAATACACAGAAAATCCAGGGAAACTTTAAAGGGACCATTGCGGTGTAGAAAAGACTTAAAGAAATGTGGATCGTGAACATGTGATACCCAAAAAGAATTACTAGAGGTGTAAAAATTTAAGCAGGGATGGAGTGAGGGCATGGAGGAGATGAAGCAGAGAAAGAAGGCTGATTGAGATGAATGAGGGATGAAAAATCCATTTGGAATTCTGCAATTCATAATTCAGTTTAAAATTATACATTAACAAAAACAATTACAAAGGTGATATCCAGCATAACGCGACAGTGCTGCTCCCCAAAGTAATGTGTTATTAAACAAAAGCAAAGTACCAGGCATGGAGTATATGTTTATATGCCTTGTACATTTCCTTCCAAAATTCCCCAAACCAAACAGGCTCTTGCTGTTGTTCTTGGTTGCCCAACAGAGCTAGATGATGAGACGCTATTGCGGAAGACACCAAACACATTTCCTTAATAATATAAAGAAATCAAATAAAAAATAAATTGGAAGTTTTTTCCTGGATAAAAATCCTACACAATGTGATATGTAGACTTCTGTGGTGGGGGTAGGATGGGCATCAGTGGTCTTACCCAGATGTGAACCCTGTGAACAATAGCACGAGCCTGCTGGGCAAAACGTGCACACTGGTACAGTAATGGCACAAGTGTTATGGGAGGAATCAACTACTCTCTCATTGTATCTGGAGCCTAACCCACAGTAGTGAATTCAGACCCGGTACCTGAAACTGGTTTTAAAAATTGGGAGAAGAGGTCTTAGGGCCATACAGGGAAATTGCCAACTGTTTTAACTAAATCTATACAGCATCAAACTGCCTTCTAAATACTAATGTTACACTCATTGACAAATACTACTCTCAGCTTTTATCAGAGAAGCTTCCCTTTCTAATGAGTGAGGTGAATGCAATGACTCATAGCCGCTTAAAATGTTGAGAATAAGTGATGGTTGAATGTTCAACCCTAAAATGAAATACACATCCTTTCTAGGAAGCAGGGAACATCACAGTAGAAGGATTGCACAGATTGCAAAAGGCAAAAGGTAAGGAAAATGGATGTAGCATGCTATCTTCTGTGCTGATGCCATTCCAATAGAGATCTTACATCAGTCATGGTTGTCTGTGCTGAGCTTTCCTGAGAATGTGAAGCAACCCATATCATGGGCACTAGTGGTGGTGGGGAGAGGGCCACAGTGCCTTACACCTCCTTGCTGAAATGTTTATTGGCTCCTGATGGATTCTGGGGAAAAGGAGTCATTGTCTTCAGTTTTATATCCATTGATGACCCCATAAGGATTCAGTGAATAGCCCTGGTAAAACTGTGTAACAAATCAAAACACAAACACATTGAGTCCGATAAAGGGAACCCTGGAGGGAAGCGGTGAGTTTACAAGATGTAAGAGAAATCAGAGTGCATTATATACACCTGTGAAACCGTAGAAGAAAAAATTTAATAATAGTTATTAAAATTTTCTCATAGTTAAGTATTAAACAGTCGCTGTCTCATACTCATGCTTCCCTTGGTTGACCTGCCTCACCATGCCTCCCCTTTAATGATGGGCTGAAATTTCTGAAAAAAATGAGACAATGGAAATCTTTCCTTCACTAAGTTGTTTTTGTTAGGTAACATGGTATCCAAAAGTAAGTAATATGCTTCCTTTCTATTTCCATCTGTGAAGATCCCAACTC